AAAATTAAAAATTAAATTGCTCTTGTCTCGCTGTTTTCTCATCATGAAAATATTGTTACAATCTGTTGTAATAAATCTCATTAACGTGCGACAGACAACAAAATGTAATGGCAAAGAGAAAAACGCGCTGACATTCGTTTGTGCCTGAAGAAACTCAAAAGGACTTGCTCAATTTTTGGTTTCAAGTATCAAAAGAGAAAAAAAATGATGTGTAGCTAAAATGCAATCTAGTCGTGCAGCCAGACTTGGTGATACCCTGGAAACAAGCTACGCTACATATGTTTCTAAATATTAATAAAAGCTATAACTTTTATATGTATATAAATATTCAAAGAATGTAAGTATTTTATATGGTAAACAAAGTTTTTTGTCTTACATTTTTAATTTATCCAAGATGTGATAGTCAATAATTATCGATTTTATAATCGATACTTATCGATTGTATAATCGACACTTATCGATTTTATAATCGATACTTATCGATTTGATAATTATTAAAAAATAATTTGATTTGCATGCGACACAATCGAAAAACGGGCAGACAGACGTTCTTTATACACTTACTCCTCATCTGATTGTTACATACTATCGCCAAAATTCGTTACACCCATTTCTAATTATTCTCTGTGTTTGCTGGATATACAATATAATTTTATTTGCATGGAGTGTTTGGCTGTTTTTCTTAGAATCACATTTCAACAATGTTTGATAATATAAAAATATAATTTCATAAATGCGCAAAAGTGTTTCTGAACAAGGTCTTGCATTTGTTGTTGTTTGCGTTAGTCTCTGTAATAATGGCAGTAGTAGAAATATTTAAGTTGCAACTGAGCTCTTTATTTTATTTTAACTCATCTGAACCAATCCTCACTTTCAGTACTCCTTAAGTTGTTATATGATAACAATCAAATGTTTAAATAAATTTTATATGCAAACCGCACTCAAAACTCAGCCCGGCCCGTCGGACTATTACTAAAACCCAAATATGATGAGTCATCGATGATGCGTTGATAAAATAATTGTGTAAGAGTTAAATGTATTCCAAAGATATCGCATATTTATGTATATTTTTTTATATCTAAACCAAGTGGCTTTTCATCGCAAAGCATTTGCATAGCTCGAGGAAAAGTTGGGAAAAAAGGTATCGCAGACAATTCGCTTATGGCAAATGCAGGTTTGAAATTGTATTTTATCGGCAGCCAGATGCTTGGCAACAAATATGGCCCGTAAATATACACAATAACCGGAAAGCAATTGCTTCACGCCATTCGAGCCGCTGAAATATTAGCCTCGTTTGCCCGGCGGCCCAACCGGCGGAGGACCAGTTGGTATCCGTATGTCCCGAACCCCTCCCCTCCCTCGATCCGGTTAAGGTAGATTTTCTTTTCATTTTCCTCTTTTTTTTGTTACACTGATTGAATATGGCCAGACATCTGGTCGGGATGGGAAGTTAAAGTGAGGCAAAAAGAGGTATTGAAGATTTTGCGCACGAATTGTTAAAATAAATACTTAAATGTTCAGCAGCAGCTTCTTCAAATTTATGTTTGCATGCACTCTGTAAGCCTGGCATAAGCTGGATATCTTAAATTTAAGCAGGTAATTGAGAAGGGAACTCGCAGATCAATGCTGATTGGGAATACTTATGTTATGTAGTTATTTACATTCAGAAATATGACAAAAGATAAGGAAATGCAAGGCGAGGGGGGAAATGTTAAAAAGAGTTTGCTCTTGGATGAATAATAAATATCCGTTCAAGGCCAGTTGTACAGAATTCCATCGCAAATGTGAAAAACATTTTGAAAATCGGGCAGATTTTTCTCTACGTAAAATCCATCTCCTGGGTGGAAAAGGGGGATATAAGGTTGAAAGGGCGAAACTTAAAGTTTGTATAATATGTTTTCTTAAGTAAAAGGTACTCCAAGTTAAATCAACTGTGGCGCTTCACATTTAAAAAAAGTGTTCTTCAATTCCGCACCTCTATGCGATTCTCATGAAACTAAGTAAGACTTGCAAGTTTTAATACTATGATTTTAAGTGTTTTTTTTTTAACAAGTGTTGCCAAAAGATTATTTAATGGATTACTTATAGATGCCAATCAGATAATCATGCTTGTGTATTCACATTTATTTATAGCTATATTTTATATTCAAAGTCTATCTCTTAGTTAAACTCATCAAGCAACGCCGTCTAATAATACCAGTTCGTATTAAATAATTGCTTTACCATTACCAATTTATTTTGCAACTAAGCACGTTTACCGTACCACGCACCCGCATCAATCATCAACTGTTTGGCCAAATGAGACTTCAAAGCCATAAACCCATCAACAGCTTGAAGCAAGCGGCTAACACGGCACTTGCCTCAACCAGCTCAAATATTGACGGCTCATCCACACACACATAATTGAGCCAGCGTTCAGCGCACTCAAAGAAAACACTCTAACACATCGTTTTTTTTTATACTCTATTCACACAGTGAAAGAGGGCATATTTGTTGCTCGCCAGTCGACACCGCGGTAACTCACAGATTAAATTTTGCGATTCATCAACCGAATAACCAAGAAAACTTATTTGTAACAGTTTTTGGTCGATGGGCACAGAGTATTGCGCAGTCGGTTTTACTTGATTGCAGTGGTCATGTGCTTTCTTTTTTTGAGGTTGAGTTTGGTTGAGTATTTGGTCAATAGGTTTTTGGCTTTTTGGGCAGTAATAAACTTTTTGCAGGCTCACAATGCATGCCCAGCCGCAACCTCATCCTCATGCTCCTGCTCATCCTCACTCTCCGGCTGTGTCCGCCTCCAATTAGAGTTGTGCTGATTTGGCGTACTTAGCAAACGGCACGCCTCGCTGCCCGCCCTCTCCCATCCCCATAATGGTGGTGTTAGGCTGATTCGGTTTAGCTCGGTTTGGACTGCCTGTTGTTGAAAACCCATTAAGATCATGCTCCATTAATTGAGTACTAATGAAAACGCCAGTCCCGGCCAGACCCGGCCAGACCAGACCAGGGCATACGTACTTGTAACTGGGCGTGTCTGATGCCGCATCGAAGGCGGGGTGGGTGTCAAAATTGTGCATGTTCCAAATGGTTTTTGGCTACTGTAACCGCCGTCGGGGTAACAAATTAAGTTACACTTGCAGAACGCCAAACGAATCGTGGTCAGAGAGGAATGCTGAAACACAGCACTATGAGTAGCCATAGAAATGGGCATGGGAATGAAAATGGAAACGGTGGAAATGGAAAATGGGGTAGGCAATTTGCCAGAAATTTTTCCGACTACACAGAGAATAAAATATGCATGGCTATGTTTGCAGTTTCGATGGGACTTTGTCGCGAGCAGCTCTCGCCCCGACACACGCCCGCCGATTGGATGGATACGTAATTGTAATTAGCGTTGAAACGAATCAGCCGCACAAAGAAACCATCGGGATGAGGCCGGGAAATGTTTGTATTAGCTGTGGGTGTGAAATTGGCACAGCGCTTAAATTGTTCTAAGTGGGTTAACACAGCCGATAAGGGGCATATGAAATGAGTCAGGATCGTACTGTCGATAATATGAAACAATTTTTCCTTTTTGGTAACAGGAATGAAAAAGTGCGAAGGGCGAGTTATATATAGAACGATTGATTTATTTGCTTTTTCAATAATTTATGGCTCAGTTCTTGGATTTTTGTTGATGAAACATAAAAAAACCCATCAAGTTTCTTTGAAGCCGGTTTGCTTTTAAGAAAATATCGAAAAGTTAAGGCTGACTAAATAAATGATTGGAAATTGATTTGAGAATGTTGTTTAGGTTTAAAAATCCGAAAAATTGTTTGTTGTGGACAGGAGGAAGGGAGGTATACGTTATTTTTATTATACAAATTACATGAGTTCAACTATTGATAATTTCTAAAGTTTATTTTAAATTATAATAAAAACCTTTGCATAAATCAAGCTACTTACATACCCATTGAATTTTCCACATATATATATATTCTAACAAAAACTTCTTAAAGTATCTTTTTTATCGAATCTTGTCCCTGAGCGGGCAATACAAAAGCAGCCACACTAAATGCACAAAACGTTCCTTACAAAAGGGGATTAAAATGATGTTGGTGGCTGCTGCACTTAACCAAAACGCAATAAATCAAAACACCTGGCAGGCTACTTATAAACTCTGCCAACAACAAAAAAACAATGGCGCGAAAAGAGCAGCAAGTGAAACAAAAGCGAAATCAAAAGTTTTGCTACGGGCAAAATCTAGAGAAAAGGCTAAGTAAGAAACAAACGGAGGGCAACAGCAACAGCAATAACGACAACAACAAACTTCCAGGTAATACAACAATAACAACAGGTGTTCGACACAGTTTCTATCAGCCACACACACACACACACAGAACACACACAGCACGCGCTTAGCAAATGAACATTTTATGTTGCCTACTTTTAAGCGCCGCCTTCTCACGTACCACACGGCGTATGCGTGCTGCGTGAAACATCTTTTGTCTTCAATCCGCATTTTTTAAAGTTGCATTTCAGGTAGAAAAATACAAAAAGAATAAGAAATAAAAAAAAAAAACAAAAACAAAAACAGAGCAACTGCGATAATGCCGCATCAAAAGTGAAAAACTTTAAAGCTGTAAAGTTTTGTTGCACAAAACTTGGCTCACACCTTTTGTGGCTTTGGGGTTGTGTGTGAGAAACGCAGTTATAAACTTGCAGCCGCAATTCAATTAAAACTTCACTGTAACACACACACAGTTGCATCTTAAGCAACACTGGGATGAAATGCCAAGTCTCTGACTCCAGCTGTCGCCATATGTAAACAAACGCCGCCGAACGCTGGCAAAAGAGCAGCGCACACAGCCGGCATCCTGTGCATCCTTCGGCAACCAGTTCCTGCATTTTATCCGCGCCGACGCATTTGCCAGGACCGCAACGCAGTATAAAACCAGCTGCCTCAAAGTATTTGCCAAGCAGTTGGCTCGCGGCGCGTTCACCGAATGCCACAAAACTTGGCCAAGAGCGGAGTTGGCAAGAGAGTCAGTTGGACAACTTGTAGATGTTGATTTCGTGCCCAAAAAGTGTAAAGTTTTCGTGGCCAAATTGACTCAATTAAAAGCTACTCAAATATATTAAAAATAAAAAAAAAAATCAAAACTCTTTCAACTCCAATCAGGCAATTTCAACTTGCAACAGTTTGTGGCTCGTTTTAGTTATTGGATTGCAGCATGTTGCGATTTGCAATTAAGTAAACTGTAATTGGTTTTTGATTGTGGTTACGTGAAATTTAATTGGCTTGGCAATTAGCTGGGCAATCAAACTATTTAATGAAATACTGTGAAATGCGCACAATAATTACAAAGCCATCAGTTTCATGTTAGTTTGTGGCTTGCCAATTATGTAACTAAATTTAATTGCGTCAATAAATATAAATAATACATTTTAAAAACACTTCAAACTAATTAAACTTGCTTGAATAAACCTGTTCATTAATTAATTCAATTAACTAATTGCTCAAAATGTCATTAATATTTGATTTTATATAATTACCATTCTCATTACATATTTATTATTTCAAAATTATTTAGAAATTGAAAAAGCTTAACAAAATTCAAATATCTTTTTTCACCACCGTAATATTTCAATTTTAACTAAAAAAGTCGGTACTTTTATTGAATATTCAATTTTTGTTTTAACATCATAAATAAACAGTTCTTTTTCCTTTTTGCAGTTAAATAAATATTTTCCCAGTGCTAAAGCCAAAGCAAAAACTTGTGAAACTATTTATTAAACTTAATTTAAATGAATGACTGCCAAATTTTAATAGAATAAATTACGGCGTGAATTATTCAAGCATAAATGGCAATATGCACAAACTACAAAGAACGACCATAAACATTTAATTAAAACTTTCAGATTAAACGGCAGAAACTCTGTAAGAATACAAATTTATCTATGTGAACCTATTTAATCTATTAGATACAGTTTTTCATTGACTCTGTGTTTCTTCGAGCGGAAAATTCAAGGTGTGAGCAGCTTTAAAGAGATTTGCAACCAAAAATAATTATTACGAATATTCGCCACAATAAATAAGACTCCAATTTAGTGAGTGTATTTGATGTATGTGTCCACTACAGACATTTGCTAATCTTATTTATAAGCAATTCCAACTGAGTGCCGAAATTGGTTATGATGGATACTTAACAGCCACGTGGATAGATCAGCTAAAAATAGGTAGGTATTAGGTATTAATAACGGTGAGTAATAGTAATTAATACCTAAGGAAAACTACAATACACAGATACATTTTTAATCTTAAGATGGTTATTTGCTTAATTTTTTATCCAACTGTATCTTAAGACTTTTCGTCGGCTATAATCATTTGTGAATTATAATGATTAACTCATATTCTATGCTTTTTGGCTGCTTAGTTCAAATTCTTCAACGATATATCAAATTTTAATTTAAATATCAACTTGGCTTTTATAAGAATAAATGATATACTTGTTTATCATACTTTAAAACAGCTTTTCCGAAACACATAAAAATTGTAAACAGAGCGAGGGCTAAGAACGGAAAAGACAAAGAACCCACAAAATATATATTTAACTCTGGGCTGTCTTTGCTCCCTTATAAAGCTGGCTGCTTTGTAGATTGATTTATGCGCTTGTATGTTTGTATGTGGCTCTGGGCGGATGTGTGTGGGGCAGAAATATGCTGCAAAGGACACATGTGCCGCATTGTGCATAATTGAATATGGGGCAGCTTGTTTTAAGGCATTTACAGTCGCAATTGTTTCTATAAAACACAACAGCGAAAATCTCGCATTGTTAATGGCAATGGGGCAAATGACAAAAGCATCCAACCACTTGCTGTTCAGAAATAAAAAGAGAAATCGCCAGAGAATATACAAAGATAGAAGAGGTAACAGGTTAATGTGCAAAGTTTTGCAGCGATGGCGCTGAATATTCCACGGTTTGTATATGTAAAATGCAATAAAATTAATGTATACATAAAGATAATGTAGAATGAATATAATGTGTTTGTGTGTGTGTGTGTGTGTGTGACTGTGTGGCTCAATAGTGCCCGCATCATTGTGGCATTCTGATCTATGGTAATTTGCAAGTTAAATGTCCTTAGCGATAATGTTCATAATTTACGAGCAAGAGCAATACAGGAGCGGAATTGACACTAAGCGAGCAGTTGGGCGCTAGTGTGAATGGGGCTGTTGTTATGCTGTCATATGCTCCTCCAATTTTATTTATTCATTAATTCAAAATGCATTTGTGGTATATATCTCACATATCACGACATATCTCCGCCATTCTACATACGACATGTCTCCGCGTGAAATTGGAGGAGTCCGAATGCGGAGGAGATTGCGAAGATTTCATCCAATCGATCTCTCAGATCGGTTTATGTAAACACCCTACCCTAGTATATTTTTTATAGTTGGACCTAATAATTTAATTTAATTTAATTTAAGTTGTTCCCAAAGTAACAGTAAAATTGAAATGAATCAAACAAAATGTAAGAAACCGCGCGAAATTATGGCGCTTCTAAATGTCGAGATATGTCGATTTTAGATCTCGGCAGAGATATGTCGCTTTAAGATGACATAATCTCGCCATGGTTAACGGCGGAGTTATGTCTTATCTAAACGTAGAAATGTAAATATTAATTTGAACTTTCTGTTAAGTTTTTCTGGTAAAGCCCCCTTACCGCTCCTGAACTTCAAGCGCATAATGCCCATGGCATTGAGGGGATGCAGAAAGAGGGGAACAGCAGTAGAAGGGCTATAGGTCTTATACCAGCATTATAATTATCATCTGCACAGCGAGCAGCACTAAGTGCTGAGAGCAAAGAAGCTTTTCCTTCAACCGGGCGGCAGCACTTTCACCTATAAAGTTCGCTTTTGATGTGCTCATTAAACCATGAATGAGGCCACTTAAATCGCACGGGTTAACTGCCAGCGTTTATGCCGTGGCTACTGCCACTGATTATCAGCCAGCAAATAAGTATTTGTAGAGGCGCCTAATCACAGCCGAAAATTAAAAGCCCGCCCAATTAGTAAATAAGGCGCTTGGTTTTTAATTAATTGCTCAGGCGAGACAGAAGGAATTAAATGTGCGAATAGAAGGCGAAGAGGGGTTTAATAATCTTGTAAGCAAAGATACTTGTTTTGCTTGAACAGCTTTTTGAACTTGAAAAATCTTGAATCTGATAATTATTAATTTCATATATAAGTTCTCAGTCGGCATTCTAATTTTGTTCAAATCTGAATAGAGAAAAACCTTTCTAACAGCTCATTTCTCAAAATAATTCGACATTTTTGGTAAACGTTTGTTTTAAAGAATTATTTCTTCAATTCACAAATAAATATACGAATAAATTATAATTAGAAAATATATTCAAACAGATAATTGATTAAATTCGCATGAAAATGATTATGACACGAGTGCTGCATATCTCATAGTCTATCATATCCAGCTGCTAATAAGCATTTTTTTTTTGCATATCAATAATACTCGCAGCAGGTGTATATTTTATATACTCGCAGCGGGCTTTGCCGCATGAAGCCCTTTTTGTCTGTTAACCATGTTGATATTGTCTGAGATTAGGATTTTAAAATTAATTGTGCGCATAAATTTGCCGGAATGCGCTGCGGACCGAGGGCCAGATTCAACATCCTTTCAGTTTCCGGTGCCAGGGCATTTGGTTAATGGAGCACACAACCTTTTGGCCTTTTGTTGTTGTTGCTGTTTGCTGATGGGGGCCATAAATTGACTTTCGTCTCAAATGACTTTGCATAAACAAAAGCTGAAAATTGAAATATATATTCGACGTCTGTGACTAACTTATTTGTTTAGTTGTTAAGTGGATTTACGTAAAATCATTATTTTTGAAATTGGCATCAGAATAAAGTAATTTGGATGCGTGATGAATGCTGGAATTAGTGCAAGTTCCTTTGGGCCAATAATCTTCAATAATAATTCAATGGATTTTAATATCGAAATAAGCTCAATCGTTTTTGAGTTCATCAATAAAAGTAAATAGCTTAAGTAATAGGTCCAAAATTTAGCTCATTAGCTGGGTAAATATTTAGATAATCAGCTTAATAAAGTTCTAGTACCTAAAAGCTTTGAGCTTTGAATAGGTCAGAATATTTATTTATTATAAAGTTTGGCTACGATTATTTATTTAACTAAAAGCTAACACATTTCAAGAGAAACATTTCAAACTGGATAAACAGCAGCTCTGCAGAGACTCTTTAAATTCTACAACATTTTACAGCACTGGCTTTTTAAATGGAGTACAAATAAGTATATATGCTCTTCGGTGATTATATTATCATTGTCATGCCGAGACAGATGCGTAAAGCTGTTGCTGTGTTGTCTAAGTGTATAAAAAGTAGAAGACGCACGAGATATAAATCAATAAAATCGGAATTTAATATAGCCACAATACGTGGCTCGACAAAAAGAGAAGAAGAAATGAGAGAAAAGTTTAGAAAGTGCGGTAGGTCGAACTTTAAATACCCTTGCACAAATATCTAAGTATGTACAGCTAACTGAATTTCAAATAGTAATCAGAAGAGTCCCTTCAATTTGTTCTCTATAGATTTTAGACACGGATTTTAAATAAATATACGTATATATATATATCGCTATCGTGAGCCTAATTTTCAACCTTAGCCCAGGTTCAAATCTTTGTTCGCAGCAATTTTTGTTAAATTAAGTAAAATAATTCCGGTATTTATATGAACATATGTTTCTTTATCGATATTTGTTTAATAAATAAGAAGAAATAAAGAAGAGGTTGGGTTTGCGCTAGTTGGGTTTAATTTTGGATAAAAGAATCTGGGTATTTGTGCAATTTAATATGCTAACTTATATGATTGTATTAATTTTAATACAATTGCTCAATTTACACAATAGGCGCTTAGCTTATAAGTATTATTTTAATAACTTACTAATTTTTAACGAAAAAACTCCTGCTGCATGAGACAACGAATGTGCTCTATGGTAGGGCATACGCGCAGTGCAAGGCAGGCGAACAAAATGTTATGCAGGAATTTTTGCGTTCATTGATAAAGTTCGTCGGCAAACAAGGGAATCAACGCAACCCAACCCAACCCAACCCCATCCTGTCACTCGTCTCCTCGCCCCGGTCCATGGCAGTTGGCTCAATTGTGTTGGGTGCAAAATAATTTACATATTATGAGAGCTGGCAAAAAAAAAAAATAGTAGAGAGTACGGAAAAACTGCACGAGTGCGTGGCAAATGGCGGGGAACGGGCAAATAGGAACCACTCGATTGAATGGCAGTCGCTGCTGTCGCCTGACAATGGTTGCGGACACCTATCAACTACTTGGATGTCCTTTTTTTTTATCATCTCTATGGCATGTGGAATATGCGACACTAAAATGGAGCTCTTTCTTTCGACAAATCTGTATGGCATATGGGTTGGCAATTGGTTATTTTATAGCAGTTTTTATTGTGGTTTCAGTGCGGATAGAGAAAGCGCAGAAAGCATTATTTATGCCAAGCAGAGGACACGAATATCTCTTTGCCGTAATCCGCATAATGGTGGGCCCCAGATTACGGCCCAGCGAATGTCTGGCTCTTTGAGGTGACGCTATAAAATTAATTTTAAAACATTTCCAGCTTAATCATTCGTGCTGATAAAAGGCGACAGTTGTCCCCAAGGATAATTGCGTATGCGTGTGGCACACACAAGCAACTCAGAGAGAGAGAGAGGGAGAGAAGGAGAGAGGGGAAGAGAAAGAAACGAGGATGCCATGTCGAAACGACTACATCCAGGGGCATTTAAGGCATAATTTGTGCACAAAATATATTTGCTGGCTTATGCAGAAAATTTGCCTCCCAAAAATGAACCCAACTTTGAACCACCGACCGCCAACAGCCCAGTGGCAATTCTCTCTGCGCCACTTGTAGAACTTTACAAAAAACGTGCGGCGCTTTTCAACTCTGGCCGGGCGTACGAGTGGGCGGCTATCAGTTTTACGAGTCCTTTGAGAGTCGTACTTGTTAAATTTTCGACCCGTCGCTCCACCCTGTTGGGATTCAGGTTCGGGTGTCGGGGGAACCGCTCGAAACATGCCAGAGATTTGCGTTTGGCAACTGGCTTTTGATATTCAATCATGTCGAGCATTGCTAACGAAACGCACAACTTACCCGGACACACACACACACAGCCGGACAAACGTACACACACACCGATTGGGAGACATTCGACTGGCCTTCAATTTATTTGTAATAATGGTCTCTCATTTTTAAATGTGGCCTTTTTTGCTTTAGCTATTTTTTTTATTTTTATTTTTTTTATTTATTGTCTGTTTTGCCTTTTATTATTCAATCGCAAACGAAATGGATTTTCTTTTTTTAATTTTATTTTTTTTAAAGAACCCATTTCATTGAAAACTGAAATGATTCCATGATTTTTTACGGATCAACAGCTGGTCCCATATCAAACTGATTGAGGCAAAAAAGTTTCCTAGAAAATGAAAAGTTTTTACTAAATATATTTAATTTGAAAAATGGCATTTGATTGATAAATAGAAAAAGCATTTCTTTTTTTTTTGGGGGGGAAAATCGTTACAAATGTGAGAAAAAGTGCTAATAAATGGCGTGTATTTATACATAACTTATCAAAAAAGGTTACACAACTAAAAAAGCGAAATTTAAAAAATTGAAATTCATTTAACATTCCTCCGCGAACTGTTTTAAGTTTTATTTTCCTTTGTTATTCATGTTCACCTTTTATATTTTTTGTAAATCTGTTTCTACTAATGTTAACTTTAGTTCCAAAAATTGGACTGGATCTATGCGGTTATATTTTAATTTAAATTGCCTACTCTCTGAATTCGGAAGCATTTTACTTTGCACATTCGAATCAAATTGTGAGTAAGGATTCAAAAATTAAATGCGACATATGCATTTAGAATTCTATCCATTGGAAATTCCATCTCTTAAGCCTTATAACCGGTTTATTTGGTATTCAACTGCTTTTAACCGATTGCTTGTCAGTTTTGTGGAAAAAAAGTTCAACAACGAAATAAAAGTGACTACTAGGGGCAACGGAAAAATAAAACCAAAAACAAAAACAATAACAATTACACTGATTGCCGCCCCCGGAGACTGTGCTGAAAGTTGAAAGTGAACTGACGAATGGTCACGAAATGGAAAATGCCATCAGAGCCCCTAGACCGTAACTCGGTCGCTTCTACGGTAGACTTGACCGAGTTAACATATGACAGTATACATCTACGATCGCATTGAATATGATCCTGAATCGAGTCGTCATAGCCATGCCGTCTTTTATCGTATCATATAGATACAGATATCATATAGATTTTAGGTTTTGTTATTTTTCTCAAATATAGTTTAAGCTCTCTTGATTCAAAAATGTATATATATCTATATTATATATATATATACTACTGTACAGATTTAATAGTAACCATATGTAAACTTGGTCGAAAATTGAGTTCTACAAAAACTTTGTTCAGCTGGGAAAGTATGCAAGGGTGTACAATATTCGGCTATTCTGGCCATTGTTCTGATGATTCTTGTTTTTTTGTATTTCTTTGTTTTACTGGAACTGGCAATGCCATAAAACAATTGAGAGCTCAATTTTGCACGGCCGGTGGGTTTTATTTTACATAACTCCTTCTGTTCGAGAAAAAAGGATGCGCCTGCAGCGCAGGATATGCACATTGCGAATGATTTCAGTGCCAGTCGTAACTTTGTTAGTCCCGCACACACACACGCACACACAGTCCGCCAAGGGGCAACGGCCAACATTTATCTGGCAAAATGTTTTGCTCTGCCATTACTCGCATTGTTTCTGCCAGCAGCAGGATGTGCTGCCCGGATAAGGATGGTGGCGAGCTAGAGGGGAATGCAGCGCTTATGTGCGTAAAAATTCTATTTGATTATTGCACGTTTATGTTGGCGAAGAATGGACCAGGAGCCAGCAGCCAGCAGCCTGGACAATGCATGGCCATTGAAGCTCGTTTACTACTGCCCGGCTTAGAGAGCTACGAAATAGCTAAAATATTTATTCGAAATATTTATTTCCTGCAGCAGGATACGAAAGTAAATGCATTGACTTTGATGGCGCAGCCCCCACCCCCCTCTTTAAAGAGGGGCACCCTATCAACTCGTGTGCTGACCAAAGAAAATATCTTAAATGGACTGCATCAAAGGATTGCGTTTAATTATTTCTGTGGTCTGTGCGGGGAATGGAAACTGGAAACTGGAAACTGGGTCTTCAGCAACATGGCAGCGTATCTTCAACTTTAATGGCTGCAATCAATTTCAAACTGAAACATTAAACGTGCCCCAGCGCTATATCCCGGGTCAAGTGGTGCACGCTCCACCCATGTAATCCCCAATTGCATGGCCAGTATGCAAATAAATGGCCAGAATCTGCAAGTGAAATTATTTTCTTTTAAGTAGGTAATCAAGAGGAATGAGTCAGCTCGCCGTGCACAGTATTCAGTCCGTCTGCGCTCATTTTGAAAGGGTTAAGTTTGGATATGCTTAAGTCGGGCAAATACTTTTGACTTCTTTCGCTTCTCGCTTCACTTCTTACTTCGCTTTACGCCTTGCTTATTTTGCGAGTCACTGTGCTGTTCGCTTGCTTTACGTTTCCCCTCTACGCGTCTCCTTTAATTTATTGCTTCGCTTCTCTCTTCACTTTACATTTTATCTGCTCCCTTCGCTTCTCGCTTCCCTACACCTCGCATTTTAGCTTGCTTATGTTCTCATCCCTCCAATAGCTTCGCTCACACATGCATTACAACTTCGCAAATTATTGAGCTTCTCGCTTGACGCTGCTTCTAACTTCGATTCTCGCTTAATTTCTTGCCCCCTTAAGAGTTTGTCTTCTCAATATGTTTCTTGCTTCACTTCCTTAGCAAACTTCTCTACTCTTATTGACTTTTAAGCTCTCTTTTAACCTTAATTCGTTTCTCACTTATCTTCGCTTCGCTTATTGCTTAATTTTATACTTTGCACAATTCGCTTCTCACTACTCATTTCCATTTGTTTCACTCGACTCACCTACTTACTACGCTTCTGTGCATTTAACTTTTCTTCTCGCTCTACGCTTCTCGCTTTGTTGCGCAAACTGTCATTTTTCGGTTCGTTTCGTTTCTCTGACGACCTGCATAATCACAAATTATGGTTTACCTAGGAATAACATTCAATTTATTTAAATGAGCTTTACCCATTGTCCCTGCCATCTTTTTCTCTCTAAACTTTTTGGTGTGTTTTATCTTTGCAGCATAGAAATGAATGTCAACGCGTTTTAAGTGCGCTCAGCACTCGCTGCTGGTGGCCCATAAAGGAATCAGGGCCGGAACGTGACTTTTGGCGCAAGTAAATTGAAGCCGCAGAGCGATAAAAAAGTGCAATGCCAACCTGAACGTAATTCGTTAGCGCAATCAAACAGATAAAGGAGACATATACATATATAAATATATATATATATATATATATATAGTTTGTCCATGGCGGCCACTTCAGCTGCATCAGGAATGGGCGCAGCCAGGCGACTGCGTCATCTACCCAGCCCGGCCATTTGGATGCTGCTGCTCGCCGCAGCTGCGACGGCAGCCCCGACATCAACGCCGACCGCGGATCGGCGTCGGTGCGCACACAAAGGCATCGCAGAACTGATTCGCACCAGTCCGGTGATTGTCAAAGCTCTGGCAGCTCGCATTTTCACCGATGCCGAACTGGCCGAGCAGGCGATGGACACGGCATCCGCATCGCAGGCTGCCACAATTTTAATAACATTAACTCCGGAAACGATATACAAAGGCGCCTCGCTGCTCAAAATGGCCAATGGCGCCGCTGCTGGGACAGGCGATGGCAGCCTGGGCGCTGACGGCTCTGCGTCCGGCGGAGCGCGACGCGGAGGCTTTGCCAGCGCCGGCGGTTCCAGTGCTTGGAGCGGCAGCGGTGCAGCCTATCAGTATGAGGGGTAAGTGCAGTAAAAATCAAAAATCATGATTAACATTTCCAAATTGCAATTTTTAGATTTAGCCTTAAGAAAAGTTCCTGTTCCAAGAATTTAACTTTTAATTTCCGATAAATTATAGTCCCTTTAAAAATTGTTTTTCAGTTTTGACAGAGTTACCTTCTGAATCGGGAATACTTACAATTTTAGATATTTGGCACATATTTAAACAGAAAGTATTGAAACAGCTTAGAGCGTAAATATAACTTTTACCATACCTGCTGTATAAGAAATACATAATCCTATTAGGGGCATTGCCCAGTATTAAAAATATGAAATGAATTATCGGATTTTATCTCTATGCACAGGGTAAAATAATATATTTAATTTGCATCGGGCCGCATAATTAATAAATAACTAAAGTAGGGGAATGCCACTATGAATTGGATGCCTAACTGCATTTTCAACAGATATGCGGCTTTACATTTTGTGCTGACTCTTTATTGGCTTTAACTTTTGTCTACCCATTTTCCCCTTACTTCGCTCTCTCATAGGCAACTGAATGCCACATTGCAGCCGCTGCAATGCTTCGATGCTAATATGCTGAAAATGTTGCCCACGGAATTAATTGCTTTTGGCAAATTACTGCCTGCCTCAGCGGTAACCGGCACGGGCTTCCCAGGCAGCCCGGAGGGCGCAGCTGTGGCCTCCAGGCAGATGCAGCGACCACCGCAGGGATCGGGCTTGGGCTTGGGCTTGGGTGGTGCCGTTGACATGGCCAACGACAAGGATGTGCTGCATATCAGCGTCAACGGGCTGCATCGTTGGACGCCGCAATTCGAGAATCATATCTGGAAGCATTTGGGTAAGTTGACCCTTTAAGCCTGCTTCTTGTTGTTGCCCCATTTTCGCAGTGCTTGTTGTTTTTGTTGCTGTGGCACTTCCGCTTGCTAATCGCATTTCGCTTGTCGGTTGCATTGTCCAGCAAATCTCCTTTGCGGATGTTTGTGGAGTTTACGTGCATCTCCGGTTCGAGTTTCGGAACTACAACGCATAACTAGCTCGATGGACAGCTCAGTCGGCCAATCAAACCTAAATGCCGGCTCCCAAATTGCCACCATATCAAGTTTGTCTTCGACAAGAGTTTTTCTTGTTTTCCTTTTGACTGCCTGAAAGCTATCCGGTTTATTTGATTTGATTTAAAAATTTTAAATATATTTCTAATAAAAAAAGACTTTCAAAATTCTTCAACATGTCAGAATATAAATATTCAATAATATTTAAAAATTGTTTTGCTTTAATTAAAACATTAATTAAATTCCAAAGTTTCTTTGGAAAACCTTCTACAAGCAAATTTAAAGCTTCCAACTATTTAACATAATCTTACTAAAAATTGGTTTTCATTGCTTTAATCTGAGATTCAAACCCGACACTTACTAATTTACTTGCTTAAATAACTCGACTGTTACATTTATATGTAGAACGCTTAGCTAAATTATGTTGCAACTTTTGAGGACAACGTGTAGTTCGATATTTTTTCATTCATCCCTTTCATATTTCAAATCAATTAATCTGCGATGAAGATTGATAACTGGCAGCCCATCGAAATTACCCAACAAACTTGTCGTCATGCCTGTGTGCATAGAACAGCTCGCTCTAAGTATATAAAAAATAAGTATTATATAGAAAAATATTGGGATGATGATGACGCAGCATGCGACTAGCTGCGAGTCCGTGTGTCCGATTATCCTCCTGTGCTGACAGCACAAGCACGAGGCGCTTTCAGACTTGCTGCAGCCCTTGTGGAAAGAAACACTTGACTTTTGTGTCAAGAGATAGATAGCACACACACACGCAAAAAAAAATGGTGGCAACAATTCAAGAGGTTATTTTTTTAGGTAAAAGGCAGAACATAAAAACCAAGCTTAGATTTTTTTTTATATTTTTAGTGATTATGACTGGCATAGTTGCATAGATACAAAGCTTCATAAATGTAGTTACATAGATACATAGATACAAAGATGCACAGATACATACGTACATAGACATACATGAGCTCAGCGTATGAGGCTTTTTTTGCTTTTTGCAAAAATATTTCGTTTTGCAATTCCTTCTTCCTTTAATGTTTTTTTTTTTTGCTAGCCATAGTTGAATTCAGGGCGAATTTCCTGTGTAAGGCCTTGCTAGCTATTTCCACACTTGACATTTGATTTTTGATTTCTTCTTGTAGCAAAAAATGAAATTGCCAGTTGCCCAGTTTCGTCACATTTCGTTCAATTTTAAAATTTGAACTTATGAAATATTTACTTATTCACATAAAGTTTTGTTGTGAATGTGCTCCTTAATAGTTGTCATTATTTAAAAATAGCAATATGCCCCCTATGTCACAGAGCTTATGAAATGCTAATCGTTTCGAGAGTTGGGCAATTTAATGGACAAGTGCTGCATTTATCAATTATAGGCTGGGACGATTGGAGCGATTTTACGCTTTGCAGCGTTACCTGCGGCAAAGGTGTGCAGCAGCGTTTCCGTCGCTGTCTGCTGGACAATCCACTGGTGAACATTAACATGAATATGAATCTGAATCTGAATCTGGACGATGACGATGCGATCGAAGAGGACGAGGAGGTGGCCGAGCAGGAGCAGCTGGATGTCGAGGACGCTGACGAGGCGAATAATGATGCTGCAGAGACAACGACAACGGCAGCAACAGCAACGGCAGCCGCCGCATTCAAGGCTGATAATAATGAAGTGCTCAGTCAGGACGATATACAGGACGAGCCCGAGGATGCGCTGCTGCTGATGATGCAACCAGCAGCTGTTGACTTCCCACTCGACCCAACGACAACTGCAACTGCAGCAGCAGCAGCAGGAGCAGCAACTGGGCTAACAAGCGGCGGTAATGAAGCGACGGGCACAGGTGTCAGCTTTGTGGCTGTTGCACGTAACGACCGTCGCAGGACACGTGCGAATAATCAGCACAAAAAACGCAAAGTGACCAAGAGCCTAGCCCTATCCACACTATTATGCGAGGGCTACAATATCGAGCAGCGCAACTGCAACAGTTTCGAGTGCAGCGGTAAGTGTTGCCCTCATCCTCATCCTCATCCGAGTCCTTTACTATATACTATATACTCACTGCCCAGCCCCGCCTCTCTATTCCATTTACAGATGATATCAGCGATTTGCTCAAGTTCTATAAGAAGCTGCCCGTGCCGGTCGCCGAGGAGCTGCCAACTGTCGCCAGCTATGACAATTTGCCAGCTGACTTCTCCGAGCTGACAACGCCCGTTTCTGTGGGCGTGGCCTACTCGTCGACGCCCGCAAATATGGGCTACATTCGCAGCTGGCGGAATATGCTGAACTTTACATTGATGATCACTCTGAGAGCGAAGGTAACGAGATCGTCCAGAAATATTTTAATTTGAACCCATTTAATCGATTTCCTAGTCTATCGATAACTAAGCACAGATCGACATGTTGCTCAAGTTAATCAAATGCCGTAGCTTAAATCAATAAATATATCCTACATAAATTTATTAAAACATGAGTTATCGAAACTTATCGATAATAATAGTCTTGTTATCGATTGCAACTTTTGTATTTTAATATATATTAAACTGCTTGTCCTGACTGACTGACTGACCGACTGACTGACTGACTGAATGACTGACTGACTGACTGACTGACTTATTGACTGGCTGATTTAAGGTCAACGTACAGAGCTAGGAAGCTGCAATTTTCACTGTTGTTTCCTTATGTGATGTAGACGGGTTTTAGGGAAATTCCACCCGTATATGTGGGAAAATCGCGTATATGGTTTACTTGAAACTTTTTTGTTTTCCATCCATTTTCAAAGATCTTTGTCAAAATTCATCTGATGTGTGTTTCGCACTCCTTGAAAAATCCAAAGGGGGTGTCAAAGATTTGGTGAGTGACGTTTCGCGCTCAAATTCATTTCCAAGGATCTATATGAAAAAACGATTTAAAACTCCATTTTAAAGATCTTTGCGATTAATTTGATGCCTGCCACGGGCAAGGTCAGGATATACCCGCTTGCAAATATATATACTTCTATTAGTTACTCTTTCACAAAGCGTTGCACGTAAAGTAATTATAATCTATGCGTCAACAAACATTGCCGAAGAGCTTTTCCACTTTTCATCAACCTTAATTTTTTTCAGAATGATACGAAAAATGCTTCGACACTTTTCTCCATACGCAACGGGACACACAATTTGTATCTGGAGGCGTGCAAGGATGGACTTCGTTTGTATCTGGAGCGCGACAATACAACGGAAATGTTGCCGGTGAAATTCAATTTATATGATTATCGCTGGCATCAAGTGGCTATCAGGTGAGGGGGGAGTGAGAACAAAGAGAGAGAGAGAGAGAGAGCGAGAGAGAGAGAGATTAAAGAGTCGGAACTGTTGTTGTTGCTGTTTTTCTAGATAGGCAATCAGTGTGCGTGCTTTAAATGGATTTATTTTGTGTGTGTGTGCGTGTGCGTGTGTGTGAGTGTGATTCTTGATGGCCATTCCCGTCATTGACACTTTCATTTTATTTGCATTTTCAATTTATTAACATAAATCGCCTGGGCCAATGAAACGCACACAGTGCCGACACTTGAAACACACACTTGACACACATGCAAATAGCACGCACAGTCGCACATAAAAGTACACGCACACACACAAGCACGCACAAGCACTCGTATACACGAATATCGAGTGTCGCTTTGTTTGTGGCTGTGTATGTGTGTGTGTGGATTTTTATATGCGATACAGCTACAGCAGCTGCCAAATTGACACTTGGTTAAAGTGGGCGCCATTTGTCATCGGCCGTTGGCACATTTTTCTATGCTACTGTACATAATACTCTGTATGTCTTTTAATTATTTGCACCTCTCGCCACTCGCCACTCGTGTTGCCACATTTATGCTGCACACAGCATACAAAATGGCGATTTCATATCGATTTACGTCGATTGCCTGTGGACAAACAGTTTTGTTGTCTCGAAGCGACTGTTTACGCTGCCCCTGGACGCGGATGTGGAAATTGGACGCGGCTTTAATGTGAGTATTGGGACAAATTCCACAAAACATAAATGGACAAACGTACAGCAATAAATTGTTGATCACTTGTTGGCTGACATATTTAATAACGATAGCTTAACGCATTTGGTGATAAATTCATCAAAAATTATACAAAAACTTTGTTGCAAGGCAATAACAATGCATTTAAGATCAAAAGTCGCTATGGCAAGTTTTAGTTAAACAAATTTGTATTTTTTTAAAATAATGTGATCGATAATTTATCGAAATGATAACCAATCTTCAGTTATTAAAGCATAGAATATCCAAGATTATAAATGAATTAGCATAATACGATGATCAAATTTTTAGTGAAAGCCTTCAATAAATCAAAGGTCTTTGAAAATTAAACATTGGTAAGTTAAAATTATATATTTATCGATAACAAATCGATATAAAATATCACCGAATATCATTGAAAAAAAAAACAGTTTTAATAACACTTTGACAACCGTTGAATGCAATTTGAAACATTTTCATACACAGCTGAACCATAAACGGAAACAACTTTTGTATTATTAATTTCCCAATTGATTTTCACCGAAACGTACCGCCCGCAGCGCTGTGAAAAACAACGTGCGACATTTTACAAGCAATTTCGGAATTGCAACTGCCACACTGTCAACGGGCAGGGTGTGGGGGGGCGGGGGCTGTGGGCGATAGCCCATAAATTGTGCAAACAATTTAATGCGATAAATGTGAATGCTACGCGGCGTATGCGTTATGCACTTTAAATGCTGCATAAAGCCGATAACGCATACGCCTCGTTGGCCCCAAAAATAATACTTAATATGCAGATAATTGCCATTCAAACGTTCACAATAAATATTTTCAAGCAAAATACATGCAAATATAAATATATATATATATTTGCAGGGGGAGCTGCAGCAATTACTGGTGCTGCCGGAGCACCAAGAGCGGCTGCAGTGCAGCAATAAGAGGACATCGATTAACGAGGTGAAGCGCTACATTATCGACACATTCATCGAGGACTATGCCAGCAATTGAGGCGTGACGGCATTTAAATATGCATGGTAAACAGAGCCTATACAATTCCAATAACAGGAGCCAAATCAAATGAGAATCGTAAATGTATTTGAGTGGCAAACATGTGAATGTGTAATGAATAATGCAAATCATTTTGAATGCGCCATTCAAATGCAATGGCTAGAAATTTCAGTCTATAAAACTACATATAAATATGCAAAACCAACAGAAAACAAAGATAAATATAAACACACTACATATATACATACCATATATTGTGATTGATGTTTCCTAGCAGCGCATTCAAGTATTGTAAATTACGATCTTTCCATGTGTGTGTGTGTGTGTGTGTGTGTGAGTGTTATTTTGTAATTATAAATGCACCCACAATATACGCACGAGTGTTTATCAAGTACTCACCGTAGTATGAATACAATTACGATTGATGCTTACGATATTGCACTATATTACACACGAACACATGTATGTGAATGCCAAAAAAACAATTTAAGTTAATTTGACATAAAACAATAATTATAATGAAAAACAGAAGAAAAAAAAATAGTTAACTCAAAAAAGAAAACTTATTATATAATTACATTGATGTAGAATGTGCGGCGAAATGCGTAAATGTAATACGAATATGATATAAGAATGGCGCGAAAAGTAAAAATAAATCAATAAACTAATTAATTATTTATGCATAAGTGTAAAATGCAAAATGCGTTATCATTTTTATATTTATTTCAATATTTTAGCAAGCCAGGTTTGTGTTTGCTTTTCACTTAAAGTTTATTTAAAGAGGTAAGGAAATGATAAAAATGCTGAATATTTATTTATTTATTTATTATATTTTATAGTAAGTATAGTTAACACATATCTGAATTTATTTTAAACGGTATACAACATATATAACTATTATAAAGGATGCAGACATATATATGGCCAAGATATTAAGCGGGTTATAAATAAGCACAAACTAAGAAAAGAGGCATTATATATAACTAAGTTGACGATCCGATTGGGCTCAGTTCTGCATCAGCGAAGATTATTTCTGTACTTAGCCTTAAACCTAAAAGACTAGTACCTTCTATAACTGAGTAACAGCGTAAAAGTTGAGAGACCCCAAAAAGCATAACTTGTAAACAAAATGCACAAGAAAGTCCATATTAAAGATTCACAATCGGAAACGGAAGAACCCAGGCAAAATCTATTTCCGTGCCTCTATGCGCTATCTTCTATTATTTATTTTCTATCTATCATTATCTATTTTCCTTCAGAATTTATGCTGCTTGAGTTTAAAATATGTTAGTTCTTTCTATTTTTACCCTGACAGTTTCTATATTTCGCATTTACATAGAATGCAAAATTGAATTTTAGGTATGTATTCTAATTGGCCAATCTATAGCCAATTTTTTTATTTGATATTTTATTTTGTAAGGCTTCGCTTGTTTCTATGCCTCGCTGGCGCTGCCTCTTGGCTGTGTTTTGGCTGACTAAGCTCATTTCTGGCCAAACAAAAAATGTGAATTTACATATTGTTGAGCTCTCTGCAGACACACAGGACGAGTGTGTGTGTGTGTGTGTGTGTGTGGGTGGATGTGGTGTTAATGCTAGTGGTTGGTTGGGTGGTTTGGTGGTTTGCTTCGCTCGCTTTGCAGTCACTTTTGTGGATTTTGCGCATTTGAGTGCGCTTGACTGATTTGACAAAGGATCAAGTTGTTAATTTTGCTCGCCGCGCCGACTGCCACTGACAAGTGCCAAGTGACTGGCCAAACAGACAGCGCATTTTGAGACAGCAAACATGAGCCACGTCAGATTAAAATACTACCACATAAGTACATATTTTTGTTCTCTCTTTTTGTGCGCCATGCTACCGACTGTTCCAAGTGCTATACTATGTTCAATCTTTAAACAGATATATGGCTTAAATACTTACATTTGTCATTGAGCCAAAAATAAATACAGTTTCAGTTGTGTGTAGACAGCTGCAAGTATCTCAGTCTTATATTAAGGCAGTGGAATGACAATAGATAGCTTATCGGACAGGCTAAAAAATTTGCTACCACGGGTCAATGATTTCCGATCATATATACAATAAAATACAACTTTTAATTATTATTGTGAATCCCCATCTGTCTATAATCCTTAAAAAATTCTCTTATATTAATTGTTTTCTTAATTTTTTTTTTATAATTTAAAAAAATTCTAAATAATATATTTTCCTACTATAATAACACCTGCTTAGCGGTAAATTCTTATAATGTCATATTTTGATATATTAAATACTTTGGCTGACACTCGTTTTGTCCAGCAGTAATAAATAATAATAAAAATATTAATAAGTACTAGGGATCTGTACATAAATCTCATAGCTAAAGGTTCCTAAATTTCTTTTTCACTTGTTCAAAGAGAAAACTCAATGCGGAATACCTGATGCCCAGTCTAAAGTTTGTGCTCCCTGTCACTAGATGGCGCCAGCACATCATCAAAGTAGCTGCTTTACATTAAATTTGCAGCCTTAAACAAAAATTGTTATGTAAAAGCGAATGGCAAAAAAAAAAATCATAATTTCCTCTTTGCTAAAAAAAAATTAAGGAGCAAAGGAAGAAATCGCAGTTGCTTCGCTTCCTTTTGCGTGGTTTTCGCGCTGTCTCCGGCCCGTAAATAAGCCCCTGCCCCCTAACAGAAGCCCAACGTGTCTCCTCATTTGCTGACATTCTGCTTATTTCGCTTTGCAACGCTTCTCAGAGTTGTAGGCAATTACAAGCTCTACTGAAACATGGGGTACGCCTCGGATGTGGGCAACAGACGTTGCAGACATTGATGAATTTCCTGTCGCATCCTCATCGCCCCAGTCAGTCTGCCGCCAGGTGAGGCAACCGAATCCCACTCAGCGCCATCCACACCTGGCGCAGCTCAAATACATTTTTATCTGCACAAATGTCGCTCCCTTTGCCGTTGCCCCATTGTGACTTAATAATTTCCTACTCACGTCCTGGCGGTGCATTGAACTGCGCTGCTGAAGATGCTCCGCAATCGTGGAGCGCACCTGGTGGGTTATACACTTCAAAGTTGATACTTTTTACATGTATATAATTATGTTTGCATCTGCTTATATGCGATATATAGTTTGACAGAAGCCTCCTCGAACTGGGCAGGACTTGTGCGTGTATCCGGCCGCATGTCAATGCAAAAATATTCCAATTAGTTTCAGCTCGTTGGCAATGCACGGGAAATGCTGCTAGGTATGTTAACTTTTTAACTTTATAAAAGCTTGCCACAAAAATAAACTAACACAAATATTTACACTTGGATTTTAAACTGAACTCAAAACTAAGGGCTTGCATAATTAAAATACACAAACAGTAAGGTTGAAAGTTCGAATCTCAGGTGAGGCACTGTGCAATTTATATTTACCTGTATATAGCTTGAATATTTAGTCAAATATTTTTTCCAATTTTATTAATAAGTTACTTGCGGCTGTATCTATAAAATCGTCGATCCAAACATTAAAAATTGACCCTAATTTTTATAATGTTCCATTTAATTGTCGTCGAAGGAAAGGTTTTGGAATAGAAGACATGTCACTCAATACTTAATAGCAGAATACTTATCCAAATGTGATTTTGAAAAAGGCTAAAATTGCATTTGATTTGAATTTTAATTGACCTGAAAATATTTTAATTGAACATACTTGAAATTTAATTTCTATACTATTTTCTATACAATTTGCATCTAAGGAATATGCTAATCCTATTTCCAGTACCAGCACCAACTGCCTGACGAATTTTTATAAATGTTGCTCACATAAGAAACTGGTCTACTTTTAAACTGAGTTTCTGGGTGTTATTTCCCCTATTCTCGCAGGACCCCGTTACTTTGACTACGTAGGCAACCCTTTGCCCTTAATTGTACTTAACATAACATTTATTATTCTCTTGCGGCTGCTTTACGCATGTGTATTGTGCCCTGTAATCACAGCCAGCCGCATTAGTTGCATAAATTAATAGCTTAACAATTACTAGCATAATTCTATGTGCAAACCTTCTCCTTCTCCCCCTTCTCCATCTCCTTCTCCTCCGCCTCCTGCCCCTCAGCCTCATTTGTTCCCTTGACTTTACGCGCAACGTGTTGCACTTGATGGGCCGCTTCCCTTTTTCGCCGTTTTTTTTTTTTAGTTTCCGCTGCAAATTGCAAACGTAAATCTTGCCAAGTTTTTCCTGACTAGAAACAAGAACAAAAATTATGAGAGTAATGAGAACTTTGCCACAACGAAGTTCAAATACACTAACAACAAATCTCATTTATAGAAACTATAACAACATTCAATGAGAATATTTGGATATTCTTAAATATTATAAAGTCTCGTATTCATAGCATATGTATTTATTGTATTTATTTTAAATAAAAAAGATATATATACATACATATTCTTTAGGCATAAAAATGTCATCGTATTTCTGGGAGTAGTCCAAGACGTAGCCCAATCTCGACTTTAGTAATTCGTTTCAAAGTTTTATAAAAAAGCGCCAGAAAAAAAGAAGAAATTTTTCGCAAAAATTGTGTGCCACACACAGCCATGCTGACACACACACACACACTCGCACACACACACACTTTACACACATTTGTATAAGTAGAATTTTATTTATTTATGACTGCGTCGGCAGCAGAAACAACTTTCACACGGCTTCACGCGCACAAATTTTACTCGCATTTGTCCGATTTCCACTTGGACCCAGTTTTTATGGTTCTTCTTGTGGTCCTTTGACCAGTTGCGTAATTTTAACTATTTAATGCTAACTTCAGTTAGTTTAAACAAGCGAATTTATTGCCCAACTCTCATTAAATGCGAAATTCTTATGGGAAATTGTAATTGGAATTGCGTTCTTGTTTAATTATTTATAAGCATGTCCGAGCTAGTTTTCTTACGTTTTCCTTAATTCAGCTTATTCCATATTTAAATCTTACTTTACTTACTTGAGCTACAGTCAAAATTTGGAGCTTAATAGTACAATAAAATTTATTGGCAATGTATAGCCTATCATCGGCTGCTATAATTTTAAAACAATTCAGTTTCATCAATTTTTCCTTATTGCGCGTTTTCAGAATTTTCAATTAAGAAACACTTTGATTTCAAATAGATAGCCCGTCAATAGCTTGGTTTAAATTGCAGATATATACTCATAGATTCTGTGCATACTTATATCTAAGAACCCAACTCTCTCTCTCTCTCTATTCCTCTGCCCGTAAATTATCAATCAAAGCGAAACTGTTAAAGTTCAGCAATGGAATTTGAACTCTGAAGGGGTATGGGGTTGGAGTAGGTTTTCGGATTTGTCCGGCATGTGGCATGCAAAGTTGGCCCGCAGGAGCCGGCTGAAAACTGTTTTGTGCTCAATGCCAATTCAATAGACCATGCCCGCAAATACGCCACACGCCCGCACGCCCATGCAAGGCCAAACTGGCCAATGGCCAAGGCAAATAGCACAATCTGGCTGAGAGATGCTGCCCACGGTCAGGCCGGGCATGCCGGGCAACTTTGCTTTGGGTGATGCATAAAATGCTTTATTTGTCGAGGGCAAAC